CTGGGGAGTTAGTGTGAATTACCAGTCTAGTAGGGATCCCTTTGCTTCAGGGTCCCAAGAATAACTGTCTAGACAGTCTCTAATAAACAAAGCTAGTTTCTGGTCCTCTAGGCAACTATGGCCCCTGTGTCAAATCTCGCCTTTCTGCCTGTTTATGTATGGCTTGAGAACTGACAATGGTTTTTATATATTGAAATGGTTGGGAGAATGGTTGACATATGAAAATTATATGAAATTCAGATTTCCTTACAAATAAAGTGGTATTGTAAAGTGGTATTGCTCACTCATTTATGTATTATAGAAAATACTGCTTTTCCTGGAATGTGACGTCAAGTGGGCCTTAGGAAGCATTAGTATGAACTAAGCTAGTGGAGGTGGAATTCCAGCTGAGCTGTTTCAGATCCTAAAAGATGATGCTGTGGAAGTGTTGCATTCAATATGCCAGCAAATTTGGAAAACTCAGCAGTGGCCACAGGACTGGAAAAGAAGGGCAATGCTAAATGTTAAAACTGCTGCACAGTTGCCCTCATTTTACATGCTAACAAGGTTATGCTCAAAATCCTTCAAGCTAGGCTTCAACAGTACATGAACTGAGAACTTCAGGTGTATAAGCTCAATTTAGAAAAGGCAGAGGAATCAGAGATCAAATTGCCAGCATCTGTTGGATCATAGAAAAAGAAGAGAATTCCAGAAAAACATCTACTTCTGACTGTGTGGATGACAACAAACTGGAAAATTCTTAAAGAAATGGAAATATCAGACCACCACCTTAACTGCCTCCTGAGAAATCTATATGCAGGTCAAGAATCAACAGTTAGAACCAGCCGTGAAACAATGGACTGGTTCAAAATTGGGAAGGGAGTACGTCAAAGCTGTGTATTGTCACCCTGCTTATTTAACATGTAAGCAGAGTACATCATGGGAAATGCCAGGCTAGATGAAGCACAAGCTGGAATTAAAATTGCCAGGAGAAATATGAACAGCCTCAGACATGCAGATGATGCCACTCTAGTGGCAGAAAGTGAAGAGGAACTAAAGAGCCTCTTGATGAGGGTGAAAGAAGAGAGTGAAAAAGCTGGCTTAAAACTCAACATTCAGAAAACTAAGATCATCACCAGCCCAGGTTGGATGCATGAGACAAGTGCTCGGGCCTGGTGCACTGGGAAGACCCAGAGGGATCGGGTAGAGAGGGAGGTGGGAGGGGGGATTGGGATGGGGAATACATATAAATCCATGGCTGATTCATGTCAATGTATGACAAAAACCACTGCAATATTGTAAAGTAATTAGCCTCCAACTAATAAAAATAAATGGAAAAAAAGAAAACTAAGATCATGGCATCTGGTCCCATTGCTTCATGGCAAATAGATGGGGAAACAATGGAAACAGTGACAGACTTTATTTTTTGGGCTCCAAAATCACTGCAGATGGTGACTGCAGCCATGAAATGAAAAAACATTTGCTCCTTGGAAGGAAAGCTATGACAAACCTAGACAGCTTATTAAAAAACAAAGACATTACTTTGCTGACAAAGGTTCATATAGTCAAAGCTATGCTTTACCAGTAGTCATGTACTGATGGGAGAGCTGGACCATAAAGAAGACTTAACGCCAAAGAGTTGATGCTTTCAAGCTGTGGTGTTGGAGAAGACTCTTGAGAGTCCCTTGGACTGCAAGGAGATCCAGCCAGTCCATCCTAAAGGAAATTAGTTCTGAATATTCATTGGAAGGATTGATATTGAAACTGAAGCTCCAATACTTTGGTCACTTAATGAGAAGAAACAGTTAAGACCCTGATTCTGGGAAAGATTGAAAGCAGGAGGAGAAAGGAGATGACAGAGGATGAGATCATTGAATGGCATCACCGACCCAATGGACATGAGTGTGAGCTAACTTTGGGAGATGGTGAAGGACAGGGAAGCCTGGCATGCTACAGTCCATGGATTTGCAGAGTCGGACATGACTTGGCTTCTGAACATGACTTAGCAACATGACTGCTTTTGCACTGTAACAGAGTTTAATAGTTGAAAAAGAGGCCATGTGGTCACAAAACCTAAATTATTTTGTTTGTCCCTTAGAAGTTTGCTGACCCCTGATGAGATTATGTAGTCCTGCATCAGAATTATCTAAGTGTCGTCTGTAGCACTTTTTAAATTTGCAGCATTTCCTTTTTTTTTTAATTAATTAATTAATTTATTTATTTATTTATTTTTAATTTTTTATCACAACCATAGTGTATCTTTTTTTTTTGCAGCATTTCCTTTGTGGTAGCAGTGTACTGTGCTCAGTTGCTCAGTCCTGTCCTACTCTTTGAGACCCCATGGACTGTATGCTGCCAGACTTCTCTGTCCATGGAATTTTCCAGGCATGAATACTGGAGTGGGTTGCCATTTTCTACTCCAAGGGATCCTTCCAACCTGAGGATCAAACCCACACTCTTGTGTCTCTTGCAATGGCAGGGGTATATTTTACCACTGCATCCCTGGGAAGGTAGTAAAAATAGCTTATGGCTATTTGGGCAAATATGGCTATATGGGCCTTGAAGGGAGGTCTTCAAATAGCAGAGTGTAAGTCCTCATTGCTTAAAGAAACTGAAAATGAATAGCATGTTTATCTCTAAATAGCAGCACAACAAAGGTTTTACACCCTGAACACTGTAAATGAAGGTCAGTAAGTTGAAGCTAAATAGTGCAGACGCAGAGGCCCGTATCTTAATTATCTCTGTATCTACCTCACTCTCTCTCTCCTTCCCTTTCACACAGTTAATGATAATCAATAATTGTTCAGCTGTGTTTGCTGTCAGTGACGCCATGAGCCGTTGACTGTGCGTTGGTAACTAGGTTGTTGGTTGCACTTTGGAGCCGTGTCGTTCTCAGCCCCTCTGGGTGAAGTGAGCTTCCCCACACTCAGCTTTGCCTTCAAAGTATTTTAGGGGCGTGGTACACAGAGGAGCACTCAAGAAATGCCCCATCCAGGTCATAGGCTCTAGTCTGTGTTGTTGACTGTTCCTCTGATTTGGTTTTTGATTGAGATACTACTGACATACCGTGAAAGTCACCCTTTAAAAATATGCAGTCCAGTTTTTTAACCATATTCACAAGTATGTGAGCTATCTTAATAGTAGAACACTGTCTTAATTGTAGAGCATTTTTGTTACTCTAAAAGGAAGCCCATTAGCAACCACTGTTCCTCCCTCTACTTACACACTAGCAATTTTGTCCATATGGATTTGCCTCTTGTGGAAATTCTATATATAAACACTCCAAAATCTGTGACCTTTTATATCTGATTTTTTTTTTACCTAGCATTATGTTTTTAATATTCATCCATGCTGTACAGTATAGCAATACTTCATTCCTTTTCATGGAGCATAAAATTCCATTGTATTTATATTCCACATATTATTTTATTCATTCATCAGTTGATGTAAACTTGGGTTGATCCCACCCTTTGGCTATTATAAATAATATTGAGATAAACATTTGTATAGTATATGTTTTCATTTTTTTATATGTACATACCAAGGAATGGAACTGCCAAGTCATGTGGTAACTCAGAGTTAACTTGCTGAGAAACTGCTAACCTTTTTTTTTTCTTTTACAAAGTGGCTGCTCTAGTTTACATTACTATCATTTGCTATTTTCCTTCTTTTTTATTATAGCTATCCTAACATGTATGAAGTAGTATTGCAGTGTGATTTTGAGTTACATTTCCCTAATGACTGAGGACATTGGTCATCTTATTCTGTGCTTTTTGGCCATTTATATATATTCTTTGGCAAAGTATCTGTTCATACGTTGACTTTTACTTTTGTTATAATCACCTGAGGGTCTGCCCTGTGTGGTATTCAAAAAAATTTCCTTCACTCTGTATGTCTCAGTATTTTTTCTCTGCTAAATACAGAGCTGTAGCAGTTAAAGAAAGTATGGTATTCCAAAGAATGGAGAGATCTTTCTTCCTTTTTGCCTTTAAAGATCTTCCATTATAGAGTTCCTGGGCATACTGCTTGCTTATATTTTTTCTATCCTGACAATGATCTCCTGCAATTCTATTACACAAGTTGGTTTAAAAAAAAAAGACACTGGTACAGGAGAGTAAAAGAATAACCCTCCCAGGAGGGCCAGCTTAGTTTTATTCCTAGATTGAGATGGTTATGTAAGCAGCCTCACTTGCCTTTTTGTTTTTCTCCTCCCAGCCTTTCTAGCCAGTTGCCCAACCAGATAATCTTGTGCCTTTCATTGGTTCTTGTCCCTGGGCCTTCATTATACTCTTTGTTCCTTGGATTGGAAAAAGAGTGTGAAGTTTGTAGGCACTTTATGTCATTTTTCATGTCTACTTCACGACCTTTAAGATCAGTATTACTACTGCTCCCCTTTTATTGCTGAGAAAACTGTCACACAGAGGTCATAGAGCCCGTGGCATCTCTCCTGATAAGTGTAATGGTTATCCAGATCTTCTTTCTTCATCCTGTTAAATTGTCTCTGGTTTGCTTGAAATGTTTGTGTGGAGAGAGAAACCTAGAAATTTAAGTTAATGCCACATTATAGAAGCCAAGCAGTGAAATCTTTACCCATAATTAGGAGGACTTTGAGTTGGAGAAGTTACTTGAATAAAAATGTGTCTACAATTTGGAATGTTATTTTTAGCTTGCTTCTAGTCTAGGCATAGAGATGAATTATTGTCCTCTTGGAGAGGTGGAATCAGATAATTACTTGCATTTGGGAAACTGCCACAAAAGTGTATATAAAATCCTTGAGAGCAAAGGAGACCGCTGCAGAGGGCACTGCTTGCCCTGAATGCAGTCATCATTCAGTCGTAGTGGTCAATGTTTCTGATACATTTAAATAGTAGATATTTCAGAGTGGGAATGGATTGGACTGTGTTTGGCATAAACTTTTTCCTTTATGTAGTAACAAAACAGTTAACATAGTTGTACAACAAAACTGCCAATGTAAATAAAAATTGCCTTTCTGTATTAAGACTTTAACTTTCTCTTGACAGATATGCCAAGAGTTTAATAGCACCTGGGCATGGGAGATGGAGAAGAAAGGCTATCTTGAAATGAGTGTTGAATGCAAGTTAGCACTCTTAAAGGTAATAAATTTATTATTTGTTAAAATTATTTTAATTAAAAAATCACTTTGACTCCTTCTGATTGAATTGGGAAGCAACTAGAAAGTAGAAATTTTTATTGTTAGTGGAAAAGGAAAATAGAATTTTCTTTTTTTAATTGATTTTTTGGTGATAAAACTCCTCTTTAAATTACTGTTTTTGGTTGTTTTTCAATATACACTTATATCTAGGTTTAATGATCTCTGCCTGTAGGGATAATGGCAAACAGTTACCCTAGATTAATTTTTTTTTTAATTAATTAATTTATTTTTTTTTTATCACAACCATAGTGTATCTTTTTTTTTTTTTTTTTTTTTTACATGTATTCCCCATCCCGGTCCCGCCTCCCACCTCCCTCTCCACCCAATCCCTCTGGGTCTTCCCAGTGCACCAGGCCCGAGCACTTGTCTCATGCACCCAACCTGGGCTGGTGAACTGTTTCACCTTAGATAATATACGTGTTTCAATGCTGTTCCCCTAGATTAATTTTATGCATTGTTGTCAGCCTTCAAAATCATAGCTAACAAATATGGTAAACTGTGGTTAATCTTTCACTGATTTACTAAATCAAAGATTCAGGGAAGAAATCTGACTTTATATACACTAATCATATACAAAAATTTTAATTAAAAGTTAGTTCATCCATTCTGGTGCTGGCAGTATGAATTTCTTTCTTTCTTTTTTTTTTAAAGATAATTCTCCAGAGGCAGTTATCAGTAAGACTGCCTTTGGTAAAAATTATGTATGTCTCAAGCTTTCAAAAATAGACAGCCATTTCAAGAATAAAGTTCATCTAAAAGCTTTAAGAGAAAGTCATTGAAAATTTTATACCATGAGCCAGTTTGGGAGACTTTAATACAAATACTCAGTGCTTTAGAATATAACTTAATTTTTGGGTCACTGGTTGTGTTAAACCTGTAAATTTATGTAATACTAAAATTATGTTAAATTAGAAATTTGTCTTTTAAAATTGGTTATTATAAAATAAGTGTAACAAAGAGGAGAGAGGAAAGTAAAAGATGGACAAACATACTTTCTCTTCTTATTCCTGAATCAGTTTCATGGTTGGACATAACACATTTATTGTGATGAAGAAACATTTATGGGGTAATTTAAATCATGTTGTGACTATTTTCCAGTACCTCTGTGAGTGTCAATTTGATGACAATCTCAAATTCAAGAATATTATCAATGAGGAGGATGCTGATACCATGCGTCTCCAGCCAATTGGCCGTGACAAAGATGGCCTCATGTACTGGTACCAGTTGGATCAAGATCACAATGTCAGAATGTACATAGAAGAACAAGATGATCAAGATGGCTCTTCGTGGAAATGCATTGTCAGGTATCTTCCATTGGAAATTTTTTTTACATTTATTTGCATGTTTCTTACTTTGATCTCTTCTCTACCAGAATATAATCTCTGAGGCTTGGTGATTCTTTTCCATTTATGGGGTTAGGAATTTCTAGGACCTAGCCTAGTGCCCAGCACAATATGCACTGGAAACACTTAATTTAATTATTTGTCAAATAAATAAATACATTTAACAATATGTCCACTGGGACATATACCTAGTACTTAGGGACCTTGAATCCAAAAAATAATGATGCATAGGTAATATACACAGAGAAAACCATTGTTAGAAAGAAATATAAGAAAAACACAAATATATTTTATATATATACATATATATATCTTTTTATTGTGTTGCACGGCTTGTAGGGTCTTAGTTTCCTGACCAGGCATTGAACCTGAGCCCTTGGCAGTGAAAGCACAGCATCCTAACGGCTGCATCATCAGGGGGTTCCCAGGGAAACACTGATTGATTTTTATTTAGCTATATAGGTTTCTATTAGGCATTATTTGTTTATTTTTCTTAAATTTGTCTAATTCATGTGACACATATTTTCATGTGAAAATATACTACATTTTCAGTTTTTCCTGTGCATACATTTCTTTGGTGAGATCTGAAGAAATCTGAGGAACATTATGCTTTTTTGTCCTAATCCATTTTTTAAAATCTTGATTTCTTATGTTTGTATTGATAAATATATTTAAATGGAAATATAATATAAAGCTTTGAAATAAAACTTTTAAAAAAATTGATTAGTGACTTGGATTGTTATTCAGAATCTTTGTGTCTCCAATTTTCTGTTTTTGCAAATTAACTATTTAGAATTTGTTGTATTAATTTCCACAAGTTATATTAATTTTGAAAATATTATAGGATTTATAACTAGAGTAGGGAGAACTAATGGATATATGTCCAGTGGCTTATGAAGACCCTTTTAACTTTATCTTTGATTTTGCTTGGATTTTAGCAGATTTTTGTTAGTGGTCATTTTTTTTGTTTTGTTTTGTTTTGAAGAGAAAATTCTAGAAATTCATAATATTTGTTTGGGTCATGGAAGCTGAAGTTTTATTCCCTAAGAATAAACTTTGAGCTCTTGGGGGATTGTTTTTTGACCATTCTTTCATCATATTATTATAAAATATATTATTGTATATTATATATGATATTATATAATGCATAATATATTATATCATATATGATATAAAAGCATCATATATTATATAAAATATAATATAAACCATATAATATGGTTTTCCATATAGTTAACTTACTAAATTAAAATAAAGTGGTCCTGAAATAAGATGTACTCACCATCTCTCCCTGTGAATACATACATTAAATAAGGTTCTGTTCATGATGTTTTACCACCATTCTACTATTTTCTTTATTAAACTTGCATAGTTGTTTGAGACAACTGCTTTGTGGAAGAAAAACTTACAACAGAGAAAATTATGAGTATTATTAATCAGTCATATGTACTTTTAAACAACTGCTAGTATATGATGTTTTAAGTAGATAATATCCCAATGCATGATGTAAGAGAAAGACCATAGATTTTATAGTTAATAAGTGAATCTAGTTTCCTCTGCTTATCATCTGTAGGAAGATTGCTTAATTACTCTCATACTCTTTCCTAAAATGAAGTTGGTAATACTTCCCCAGTAAAGCTGTTCTGAGGACTATAAGAGAAGTCATACTAGGGCTGTAGTACATGCTCGATAAAAATTTGTTCCTTCTCCTAACCTTTAAATTACTGCATTTTCTTACAACTTCTAACCCCAAAGGTTGAAACTTAGTTACTTCATAAGAGAAATGTTTATCTTCAGGAAGAGAAAAGGGCAAAAATGCCAGCCAGCTTTTTCCAAATACGTAGTAATATTTGGGATCATTAATAATACTTTGGGTGTATTGAGTCTGATTTCAGGTAATTAATGACAGATTCTAAACAACTGATTGTCACACTACTGTTCCTTAAAGTCATAGATTTGAATTGCATGCCTGCTTGTGTAATAGGCACTGTGCTGAGCAGTGGGGGATGTAGTGATGAATAGTACAGCTCTGGGATCTCTGGATGATCTTCATGCACCTGTGGAATTCCTTATATTGTAAGCGGTAGCTCTTAGTTGTATTTAATGTGTGTATTTTCTAGGGAAGTATCATAGTTTTGATAAATTCTTGATATGTTCTGTGACATGGCATTTCAGTTAACTTCAACTTAACATACTAGTACTATGTTGGACAAATGTAATGAGCTTTTTTCATCCATATAGGTCTCATATTTTTGTGAAGGTTGAATGTGAAAAGCATTGTGTTACTATTCTTTGTTGTTTATTCACTAAGTCTGACATTCTTTTGTGACCCCTTGGACTGTAGTCCACCGGGCTCCTCTGTCCATAGAATTTCTCAGGCAAGAATATTAGAGTGGGTTGCCATTTCCTTTTCCAAGGAATCTTCCTGACCCAGAGATTGAACCTGCATCTCCTACATTGACAGGTGGATTCTTTACCCCTGAGCCACTAGGGAAGCCCTATTATTCTTTTCTTTCCTCAAAATTGAGATCTTAGTGGTCACTAAAATACATTAGGTACCCCAAACAATGTAGGCCATCATTCCGTTTGTCACTGATAAGATTCTTCCTGGAGTATAGTATTTAGAATTGGATGTCAAACTCTTAAGAAGAATATCAGTATAGTAGTTCTTTATGGAAGGAACCACAAGAAAATGATTTAATAAACTGAAAATACTTGATCTAGCGTAAGTTTAGGGAGATCTAATTATCTGTAAACATTTAAGGAATTGATTTGCTTAAGAGTATTTCTTTCAAGGGCTCAACCTGCATCAGTGGATATAAATTACGGGGTAGTAGAACTGAGTTTATGGAGGTGAGAACGTTTGTTTGTTTTATATGCAGAGAAATAATTGTTGGAAGACTGATAGATGCTATCAAAAAACATTTTCTAAACTTGCAGGTTTCAGTCTTTTTCAGAAGATAGAAGAAGGAAGAATAATTCTGAATTCATTCCATGAGGCCAGCCTTACCAAAACCAGGCAAAGATATTACAAGAAAAAATTATAGATCAGCATCTCTAAGGAACACAAATACAGAACTTTTCAAAAAATATTAGCAAATCAAATCCAACAATGCATAAATATATATATATATAATATGACCAAGTAGGATTTATCTCAGGTATATAATATTGGTTCAATATTTGAAAATCAGTTTTCACAAATCAGCAGGCTAAAGAAGAAAATATCACATGATCATGTCAATACATAACAGAAAAACCATTTGATAGACGCCAACACTGTTTGATGATTAGAAATCTTTAGTAACATAGGAAGAGACAGAAACGTCCTTGATTAAAAAAAATGTACTGGAAATTTCCTGGCGATCCAGTGGTTAGGACTCTGCACTTCCACTGCTGTGGGCCCAGGTTCAATCCCTGTTCAGGAACTAATATCCTGTGTGACTGCTAAAAAAGACTGATTTCCTGTGGAGGCAGAAGATAAATGCTACACAAAATTGGAAGGTTTCCAGTACTTGACTTTCAACAAAAGTGAAGGATCATCTAAAAGTTTTTGTTAGTTGAGTGTTTTAAATTATTTTTTTTAAAAGCTACCAAAAACCTACATGTAACATCTATTTAATGAAGAGAAACTTGATGTTTTTCCTATGATTAGGAACAAAGCAAGGGTATCTACTCTCTCTATTCCTTTGTAACATCATATTGGAAGTTCTAACTAGTGCAGTAAAAAAAGGAAATAAAAGATATACACATTGGGAACAGAGAAATAAAACTTGTTGTTTGCAAATGACATCATTTTCTTTGTAGAAAATCTAAAAGAATCAACCAAAAAATCTGGAACTAGTTTATTGTTGTAACAGTGTTGCAGGACAAGAAAATTAATACACAAAGGTCAATCACTTTGATATATACCATCAGTGAATGTATGATATCTGAAATTAAAAGCACAGTACCATTTACATCAGTGCCCCTAAAGCTGAAATACCTAGGTGTAAATCTAACAAGAATATGCACAAATCTGTATGAGGAAAGAAAAGATAATGAAAGAAATAAAGAATTCCATTATTCCATGTTTAAATATACAAGAACACTTAATAATTGTCATGATATCAGTTCTTCTCAACTTAATCTGTAGTCACTGCAATCCCAATCAAAATTCCAGCAAGTTATTTTGTGGATATCAGTAAATAGACTCTCAAATTTATAGGCAAAGACCTATAATACACAGTGTTATAAAAACAAAGTTGAAGTACTGACCTTACCTGAGTCTGTGCCTTTCTGTAAATCTACCATAATGAAGAATCTAGTATTGGCAAGAGAATAGACAGGTAGATCACGGAGACAGAATAGGGACCATTGGATTAGATGCACACAAATATAGTCAACTTATTTATTATTTTTTTTAAATTTTTATTTTTATTTTTTTTCATTTATTTTTATTAGTTGGAGGCTAATTACTTTACATCATTGTAGTGGTTTTTGTCATACATTGAAATGAATTAGCCATGGATTTACATGTATTCCCCATCCCGGTCCCCCCTCCCACCTCCCTCTCCACCCAATCCCTCTGGGTCTTCCCAGTGCACCAGGCCCGAGCACTTGTCTCATGCACCCAGCCTGGGCTGGTGATCTGTTTCACCCTAGATAATATACGTGTTTCGATGCTGTTCTCTTGAAACATCCCACCCTCGCCTTCTCCCAGAGTCCACAAGTCTGTTCTATACATAGGAGTCTCTTTTTCTGTTTTGCACATAGGGTTATCGTTACCATCTTTCTAAATTCCATATATATGTGTTAGTATACTGTAATGGTCCTTATCTTTCTGGCTTACTTCGCTCTGTATAATGGGCTCCAGTTTCATCCATCTCATTAGAACTGATTCAAATGAATTCTTTTTAATGGCTGAGTAATATTCCATGGTGTATATGTACCACAGCTTCCTCATCCATTCGTCTGCTGAT